CTACGATATCACTTACAGTGTCGAAGGTAGTTGAGGAAAAATGAAATTGCAGGAAAGAAGTACATTTCTCCGTCGGGCTTACGGACTCACTGGAAGTCGACGAGCTGCCGACCGGGTGGTACCGAATTGCACCTTATTGACCTGGACAGTGAGGAAGGCGCGGGAACACTGCGCGATGAGCACTGCGTTACGAGTACAACACCGGTACCGCGATGAACCAGCACTGCTACTACGGTTTTTGGTAGCCAGCGTAGTAATAGTTTGTTGGCGTAGGATCCGAGGTCACGTTCTCCTTTGCCTCCTGGAAATTTGGAATTATTGTTCAGTGACCCGCCAAGTGGCCTAGTTGTGGCTGAGTGACCGCTCTTCAACAGCTGTAGACTTTCGGTGTGATTGTATCTTACAGTTCTCTATGCTATCATTCCCATTATCTTTTTTCCTAAAGTTTAACATTCTTTTGTACAACTTTTGTCTGTTCTGGATTTCACATCCGCTAAGTTGTACGCAGAACCAAAGAATACGTTTGTTTTGTATTTTTGTCTCGATTAGTGCGTGAAAGTCTCTCATTCAGAATTTTACACTTCTGGAAGATCAAAAATTGGGCATTTGGCAACCGAATAAGCCTAAACTGTAGTTATACTTGGTGCCGAATTTGGGATTATTTGGCTGAAAGCATATTTGCAACGAAATTTCACCATCACTGGGGCCCTAACTGGAGTTTGAATATTCCACCAGTAGAAGAAATTGTGGCGATTCTTCAATTCAGTTCAACGCTAAATTGGTACTAGCGTCTTCCAGAAAATCGAAACCGCCATCTGCCTTTTTTAGAGTAACTGCAGGAAAAAAAATGAGGTTATTGGCAGCTTTGCCAGCGAGTAATTGATGTTGGCTAAGAGTATTAGATTACTTTTTAGTATCCCCTTAATCACAATTAGAGAGAGTTTTGTCGTCTTTCAAATTTGATAGCTGTTCACTTGTATGCGCGCGATCTCCCCACTTCACACCCTCATCAAAATACAGCTGCTTTCTGTACATTGCCTTCTGTAAGACGAACCGAGAAGCCGAAATTCACTTCAGCAACATTTCTGTATTCGCAGTTAGGGTAGATTTTTCAAAAAAATTAACTCATAATTGACAAATAGCACACGAAGTGTGGAAGAAAGATCTGATGCCATAATACACGCACAAAAATTAGGTGAAATTAGGAGCAGGGTTTAAATCAGAGACGCATTATGGCACACCATGTCTGTGCGTTTTTTCTGGATAATTCAGCTCTACTGCCGTAAACACTGACGGATCCAGGTGTGGAGGGAGGG